TGTTTGTATACATTAATGTATGTGTATGGTATTTTACAGTTGCTTACTGATACTAAAACTGTGTTAACACAAGAAAGAGAGAAGATGACATGTGAGAGACCTAGCAAAGGAACGAGAAAGACCAAAAGTGAGACATATGCGTACGTGTGTATGAGGAGGAGAGAAAGGCTTTGGAGAGAAAAGAGACAAAGATGCACAAGGACAGGAGTCAAGGAACACAAACATGAGAAGACAGAAATATGCAATACCTATTAACAATACATACATGCATTGGGAAAGAGAAGAGTTGTTTATTATAAACCAATATAACATTGCCAATAATGCTTAGAGTCAGGGTTCCTCAACAGATTTGGCATAGTGCTGATACAGGTTCTTGTCAATGGATTGTCAAATTGCTCAAAAATTGAGCCAAACACCCTGTACTATATACAGGGACACTGATCAAATTCAATCAAAAATGACAAGGAGAGAATTCTTGAATTTTTATTATGTTTTCTCATCCATATACATGTACTTATGTTGCATAGAAAATTTGAGCCAATTGAGATAAAATTTAGATTTTATCAATTTTTAAATTTGCTCAAAAATTGAGCGAAACATTTTGTAGCATTATAGTACAAAGGGAAATTTGAGTCCAGTACTTCCAAATTTCTCTATTACATGCATACATGTACAACAACATTCACCAAATTTCATCAAAAATACAAAGAGAGAATTTTATCAATTTTACAATGTTTTCTGATACACATACATGTACTTATGTTGCGTAGAAACTTTGAGCTGATTCCATTCAAAATTAAATTTTTAAATAAATTTTTAAAGTTATTGCAAATGTCATGTAATGCGCTGTGGTGCTAGTTGGCTCACAAAGCTCATGCTGTTTAGCTTACTTAGCATACTTTGTGGGAAACCCTGTTTAGACTACATGATTGATAACTGTGGAACCTCAAGGACATACGTGTATTGTATATCAAGCCTGAGATAATTCATGTACACGCAAAAAAACTTCATCTTGTTTACAATTATAATTACTACCATAGACAAGGTAATATGGGAATACAATTCTAATAACATTCCTATGCACTGCTGATAGACATGCAATACAAAAACTCAAACTACATGTGTGTATCACAACATTGTAAAAACAAACTTACATTTTTCAATTTTTGCTACTCAATGAACATTAATTGGCAAGGCCTAGATATTTTTTCCTGCTAAAAATTCACTTCATACACGCACAAGATTATAGGCAAAGCTATACTGATACAGGTACAGTTACACTGTATGAGACCCAAGCAATATCACAATTACTGTACTGGGATCAAAACAATAAGATGTTTGCCAGGGATCTCATAAAAAGTCATTAGGATTTCTGCATGTAGATAGACCGACCCCACTCTGTATTAAGCATGGCAATTCATGCCGCAATGGGTTTGAAGATTCAGAAATTAATGTCATTAATTCATGAATACTATTAAACAATCATCTACACGTACATTACTATTATTTGGATTACCACAAAATGAAAGTGCCAATGGTACGATGCAGTATTTTATACAGTAACCCAATTATGAACCCCAATGTCAGGCAATTCAGTTTATTAAACTCAGCAGAATCATTATGCAATGACAGACATTATGCAACTAAAGAGTAATATCTACTTACCTATGACTGAGCTGCCTAATGCAAAGACGATGACAGGAGCCTGTGAGTGTGAGCTGTGTGAGTATATCAGGAGCTGGTTTCAGCAGACATTTTGCTTTAATAACCGTTATTACTATTTGCCCTGCCTACTTTTTCTATTGATAACAAGCCTCCACAATAGCCTTGGACAAATTCCAGGAAATACTCGACCTATCTAGATCTCCGGACAACTGACTGGTTAATAAATGAGAAGCGGGTGCACCTGGCTGCTCCGGGGTGTGGTCGAACTGCTGAAAATTAAAAAGGTTGGGCTTGGTCCACGACGAAAGTGAAATGGATGTGGTGGCTGGGGCTGTTGTTAAGAGCAAAATAAAGGGATTAACGAAGGATTTAGAGAGTGCTGTTGGGTTAAATGAAGATCAAGCAACATGTCAAGTTAGTAGAAAAGTAATTAAAAGGGAATAGTCCACCATGAGAGACAAACGGAATGTGGTTAGTCACATTCTTTGTTGTGGTTAGAGTTAAGTAGGTGCAGGTGAAGTATATGTATATGTAGTTCACTGGCTTGAGATAGAATGCCATATTTACATTAATGGTGTCACTTGTGTGGAGGCACCATGATAGACAACTGGTAGTTTAGCAATAGTCTCGCGGTGCCAGAGTTTAGCATGGCCCGCCAGACCATAGATAGGGGATGGGACTGAAGGAATTGGAAACTCTCCGTTTGTAGTAAAACTGATTTTGCTTTAGCACATTAGCACCTAAGGTGTGAGCTGTAGGTGGAGCAAAATTGTTGTGGAGATAACTCTACCCACCAAGAAGTTGTGACTTTACTGGTCTTGCTAGCCAAACTCTAATTTACCAAGTAAGAGTCTGGTGCCATGCCTAATATCAACTTATTTTTGTGTGGACATCAAATACATTTAAGCCACACATTTGCTGGTGATGGTTAGAGTTGTGAGAGTAAAATTGTGGCTGCTGCTCTAGCTAAGCAAGTTGATGCTGTTATTTTCAAACTTGGCTTCCAGCTTCATGACAAATAGAAGGAGGCCTTCCTTAGCTATATAACTGACAAAGATACTTTTGTAGCTTTGCTAACTGGCTATTGCAAGAGTCTTATTCATTGCTGCTTGCCTCTAGTGTATGACTCTATCAGAGTCTTGCCCCAAGGTAAAAGCATAGCTTTGGTTGGTCTGCCTAAACACTGATAATGGATCAGACTGAGAGATTCAGACAACGGGGTGCTGTTGCTGCGTTTGCTAGGGAGCCTCAGATCTCATTGGAAAGGTGTGCAAATGGTGAATTTCAGTTGATCTTCATTAGCCCAGAGTGTCTAAAGAAAGGAAGAATGTGGAGGAACGTGCTTAAGTCTGACCTTTACCAAGAGCAATCAGTGGCCTTTATTGTTGATGAAGGACATTTGATAAAGAACTTGTAAATAGATTATAAGTTAGTAGACAGTGTAATTGTCATTATGCATCATGCACTGACTGCTATGTTGTATAGTGGAGAGGAATACAGACCTGAATTCTCAAAACTAGGTGAGATAAGGAGCCTGATTCCAAATAATACTTAGTTAAGTTATGGCTTTAACTGCAACAGTAGCCAGTCATTTGAAGCATGTAATGAAAATACTAAGCATGAAGGATGTTGTATTAGTTGAAGTGTCACCTAGTAAAGATAATTTATTCTTTAGTGTTGTTGAGTTCAAATCAATTAAAGATTCATTTCTGCCCATGATGATTGAGCTTAAAAGTAAATGGGTAGGAATGGAGATAACTATTATTATTTTTGTGGCCCAACCAATTTTGCCACACTCTGGAGAGCATTTTTTTGTTACTTGAAGGGTGAAATGACAGAACCACCTGGGCATTCCCTTGTAAACCAAGAGTTGTATTGTTGATTATTACACAGGATGTACACAAGAGTCTGTTTGAAATAGTATCCTTAGGCTATTCTTAAAGCAATCCTGTTTTAGGATACTCATTGCAACCGTTGCTTTTGGCCTAGGTATTGATTGCTCTGATATTAGGTGCGTGATACATTTTGGTGTGCCAGAAGATGTAGAGATGTACGTGCAACAAGTAGGAAGAGCTGGATAAGATGAAAGCAGTCATAATGTGTAATGCTATATCAAACAGGAGTGTAAAGAAGATTCTGCAATGAAAAAATTATAGCATATTGCAAGTTACAGAAAAAATGTTGTAGGAAGTTATTATATTCTATGTTTTTCTGATATATATGCATACCTAATGATAGTATTATAGGCTTTTGCTTGTGTTGTGATGTTGGTTTTTGAGTTTGTACATGTCTTAAATGAAAATCCATATAATAATTTATTAGTACATACATGTATAGTCTTAATACGGCACTGGTCAGCAATAAGTTGACAAACGAACGATCGCTGAACTATACTAAACTAGTTTGGTGAACGCAATAAAATGTGATAACATACAGATAAGCAGCCACATTAAGTTTGAATTTAAACAAGTTACATTTGCCAGAGATTGTGGTAACATCTGAGCATGGATAATGTTAGTTTACAACTAGTATGTTTCTATGAAAACAATAAACTATAGCAAACTCAAACGCAACTTAAACGCAAAACGTGTCAACTTATTGCTGACCAGTGCTGTAGATAGTCTTGTATGTATTGTGTGTACAGATATTTATATTGCTAATGAAATCTAATAATAATAATAATAATAATAATAATAATAATAATAATAATTGTTAATAATGATAATAACCATAATAATAATAGTTCTGTCATAAATGTTAATTAAAAGTATAACAACATGTACATGCATTATATTAGTATTGCACTTATTGATTTCTTAAGGCAATTTCATTTCATATTTTATCATTGTGCATTAGCGCTGTTTCATCCTAGTTATAGTTTTAAAATAATCCGCACTTTTCATGACGTTGCAGGAGAAACCTTTGAAATGATTGTGTTTGTGTGCTGGTTTTGATTTAAGTATATCATTTTGAACTAGTTCCTTTATTACTTCGTTTTGATCTTCTTTTCTTGTTGGAACTGAATGCCTACCAGACACATTTCAAATTGCGTTCTCTTCATCAAATGCATAAAGTGTTTCATAAATTGGGCTAATGATACTTTTCTGTTTTGTTTGCACCTAGATGATGCGCACATAACTTGATCAGTTTATTCAAATGCTCCATGTGTAAATCACATGGAACATTTGAGTCAGGACACTCATGAACATTAATGAATCTTGAGTGCTTGAGCTGCATTTCCTACCTTGGGGAAAGCACCCAACAATAATGAGGGTGTGTCAAGAAGTAGTTTCTATGGCCTGTAGCTTTAAGAATAATCATTAAGTAACTCCATCAATTCAAAACTGTATGACCATCACCCTCCCAAATTCCATCCTGCAATTCCATATAAAGCATACCAAGGCTTAGCACTTCCTTTGCGTACTCTAAAGTATGGTTGCATGGGCGGTTGCAGAAATTTGGTTTGACCTGGGCATCAATAATTAGTGGGTGTGGTTCCATACAATTTTGCAAGGAAAATGGAAAATACTGATCTATAACTTCATTGAGATGGTGTCTTAGCATAAAACAACAAAGAAGCCTGGTTGAACTACCACAGTTTATACTGGATGCCCACACCACAATCATGAATATAATTATTGGTGAAAAAGTCAACCTGGGCATTGCCCCCTAATGCCCGGGCCTGCAATGGCCTATGTATGGTCGGGCTTTAATGATGGTAAAGAAATTCATGAAGCTGGCAGAGATGAAGATGACATTAACAAAGCCGGCTGAGATAGAGATGTTATTGATGAAACTGGCTGAGATGAAGAATGCATTGATGAAGATAATGACTGAATTGTTGATGCAAATGGCTTGAAATAAGTTCCAGTTTGATACGGTGTACTACACCCGTTTTCAATAAAGATTAGGTTGTTCAACTTCAACAATAGTTAGGTAACCTGCCCCTCTAGTCAGGGATGTGTGCTAGACCTGACACCATTGTAAAAAGAAGACATTTATTTTAGATATTAAAGAGCAAAACAAATTTGTTGTGTAACATTAGATTTGTTTTCACTCACTTTGATTACTAAGTCTTTTGCTTTGAGTCAAAGCTATTGCAGACATGTCTAATGTTACACTCAAAGTTGTAATATAAATTGTTGTGATTTTTTTAGGCTACAAATGAAGCTTTTAAGCAGGAAGAACAGAAACGACGTGATAAAATACTGGAAAAAAGGCGTCAAGAAAGATTACAGCACCGTAAAGAAAAGGAATCAGAGCGTGATAAAATTCGCTCTAAGTATCAGTTACCGGCAAAAGACAAACCTGCTGCTTTATCTTCTGAACCATCACAAGAAAGTAAATCTTGTGTCCTTTCATAAATTTAATCCTACCAAAACAAATTGATTTTAATAGCAATATTGACAATCAATTGTTTTACACTAGATATTACTTAACTATATGTAGTGTTGACATGTGTACATTGTCAAATAATGTAAGAGTAACTGTTTTTTTTTACAAGATTTTTAAAGTTCCGGTAATGGTGTGTGCATCACTTTAATATTAAAAATTTTGTTATCACATAGCTGCATGTGATTATTAATATGCATGTATAATGCACCCACACAATAAATGTTTAGTTCTTCCATCATTTCTTGTTCATGATTTGTTGTGTTGTTCAGTGACTCCTCTCTCTCACTCAGTAGTTCATTGTCATTTGCTTCTCGCTTTTTCTACACAATCTCCATTCGTTCTTGTTTTCCCCTTTCCTTTCTAAATTGCCCTATTCTCCCTTTATTTGGTTGGTAAGATGATGAATATAATTTGAAACTACTCAGGAATAATTCTGTTTGAAGCCAGTGAGGTTAATGCTATGGAAACTGCTAGATATAGAAGCATGCAAAAATAACACTAACTTACCACTTGTCATACTATGTCTCCATAAAACAGATAAACACCTCCTATGAGATGCTTTAAAAACAGTAATAATAATATTAATGATAATAATAATAATAAAAGCATTACATATATTCTCTACCCCTACTTGTCCTGGTGCTTTTGCTTCTATTTCTTTTAAGCTGCCACCAGATTTTGCTAATCTCAAGAAGAAACTCAATTCCTGAGACTAAAGATTACCTTTCAGAGGAAAAGGTTTGACTGTTGTAATTAGCAAGAGATTTTGCCAGTCTTCATGGCAAAAGTGCTAGCATGTTTAACAGCTTGAGTGTCGGTGCTGCAAACAAAATGTTATGAGATATAACTGTAGCTGACAGGAGGAAGATGTTAAATCAATGTCTTTAAAAAACATGAGACACTTCTGTGTATATTAATTTTGAATAGTGTCTCATGTTTTTAAAAGATACATTGATTTAACATCTATACTTCTCTGTGTATATTAATTTCAATAAAGTATGGAAAAACATTAATAAACCAAGGTTTGTACCAGGGAATCAGCAGTTCTTAAAATTGGAAGAGTGAGGGGAGTGAGAGATCAATTGAGGAGTGAGTGGAGTGGAGGAAATGGAGACAAAAGGGGACTAAGAGGGAGGAGTAGAAGGAAATGAATGGTCTAACTCACTATAAGCTGTTTTAGTTTTATCTATAGACCCATTACTCTGTTTGCCATTCATTACCAGTGTAAAGCACTTACCTGTCATATGGGTGTTAGAATATAAAACAAAGTGCATCATGTTGAACAAAACCATGTCAACAATGATTTATGTTAATATAAGATGAGAGTGTGTGAGCGTGGTATATAAGACAGCTTTTACTGTTTGTATTGCTGCACAGAGCTGTGTAGCAAAGAAAGAGTCAAACAAAGGCTCCCTTTGTGAAGATATAAATTCACCGGGAATCTTTGAAGTAGTGCTATAAACAATCCTACTTGATGGGTGGAGGAAGTGTCTGATCTCTTCATTGCATCCCCTTGGCCTGATGAAATCAAACTTGGGCAATTGAAGCATGGCCGTCAGGATACTTTTGATTCTCTGATGAACAAATTTCGCCTTTTGTCAATCCTGGAGTTTTGGATAAGGAGATTGAAGATTCTGAGCGTATCAATGAGCTGTTCCTTGCCATGTCTACTGTGGACTGTGCTCCCTCAATGTTGCCGCCTCCTACCTTAGTCTGACCCCACCTATTGGTAGTGCATAGTGGTTTGGAAGAGTCTGGTGTCACTGCTACAGAATTTGTTGCAATAAGTAGGCCTTGGAAGATTATGCCAGCATCATTTTTAACATAATAGGGCCCAAGAGCATAGGCATATTCTAAGCATAATAGAGCCATAATAGAAAACTAAAAAATGTGTTGAGAAATGCAATAAAAACAGGTCCTTGCACTCAATAATTTTATGTTTCAACAGCTACTATTGCTCACAATACTCAAAAACTTCATAATTGAATTACTGGCTCACATTTTTGGGTGAGGCTAAGTTATACAAGAAAATTCATAGGTATGATTGGGAACATGATGGCTGACTGGTGGAGCATAATAGAGACATATATGGAGCTATTTTAGAGCATAATCTGCCAAACCCTAGCAATAAGCACATGTTTAAATGCACCATTTCACCCACATGGAAGTAACTTTATAATGTCACCTAGTCAACAAGCATGTTAGTGTAAAAAGAATCATAAGATTGTTTCCACCATCGTATGTTTATTGCTCACATGTGTAACATTGTGTGAATTATTAAAATATGTATATCATTATCATTAATTACTAGGCGAATGTAGAACATTGAAAGGAGGAACACAAGCTAGCATGCTTAGATGTCAGAAAGGCTAATGTTGTCAAATTGTAAATGATACACATGCAGAGGAGCGCAGAAATTGTGACTTTCATGCATTGAAGGAAATTTTATAGCTTGCTGTTCTAGCTTTATTAGCAGTGAAGATACTCAGTTGTAACTTTAATAAGTATAATTTAATTATAACTATAATATTTTCAAGCATAGTACTTTTAGACTTTCTTTTCTCTGATGAGTCATTTTAAGTGCTTTCATATTCTGTCATTCAACCATAATTAATAAAAACTTGAAGATTTATGTGTTTTCTTAAATTTTCCCTGCTGTTGAGTGTCTTGACGACAGATCTGTCTTATGTTGCTGCAAGTAAGATTGGCTAAGGTAGGCGACATTTTTATTTTATTGCAACCACACCCACTTAAATGAAAATATTTCACTAGAATGCTACCGCATTAAATTATTATTGCTAAATAGATAGTAGTGTGCACATGGGTGTGACGGGAGACGTACGTACATATGTACAGAGTGTGGGAGACTTCGCCTGAGTGGGGCTCGCTTATGCTCGCCCCAATTATTCCCCAATTATTTGTGTGGGTGTTCATGTATAAAGGCATGCAACACTTTGTAAAACAGATTATGATTATTCATTGAGATTCAAAGTATTTAAGAGTATCTTGTCCAAGCCATACGGTCATTGGCAAGCTTACATTTGAAGCTCTCACTGAGATGGAAGAGAGAGTAGAAGCTGAATCAACGGATGTATGTGTGGCTTCTACGAACAGACCAGTGCTGCTCAATTTAAAGAGGATATTGCTGCGGCAATTGGCCAGAGGTTTGCAGATAAAGAGTGCCATGGGTACCTCAATATCTGAGCTGCGACAGCTTGTTGAAGGGAAAATAGGTGATTTTGGTCATGAGCGTCAGATGCTAATCACGAAGGTGAAAAATGGGGTCCAGATCTGTCTCAGAGATGCTGATGGAATCTTCCTCACTGTAGATCCTTTATTAGAGATGACTGATCCGGGGAGAGATACAGTTTCTGAAGAGATTGACACCTGAGATGACCCTACAGAGTTTGCTGAACTGAAGGAAGCCCTTCTGGCTGCAGAAGAAGCTCGAGCAGCCTTAGAGGTTGAGCTGATCAGCTCAAGCAACAGCTGGTGCAAGAGTGAGATAAGTATAAACAGTTATGGGGGCTAAACTGCCTACAAGTGGCCGAGTTTGATCAAACTCTGGCTGAGAAGGAAGAAGAACTCTAGAGTTTGAAGCAGAAACTCCCTCGTACCAGACCAAGCCTTGGTGGCAGCAGTCGTCTATCTTCAGAAAGGGAAGATGTGAAGACGTTGACTAGGGAAGAAGATCACTTACCACTGACTAGAAGAGGCAGAGCTCCACCTGTAGAGTTGCTTACTGGAGAGGACAGTGAGACTACATTGGAAGATTGGTTGCCTTCTCTGACATGGGCAGCAGAATGGAATGGTTGGAGCGAGAAAGATTGACACAGCTAGCTGGTCATTTTACTGGGAGAGCTAGACAAGGGTGGAATCTGATGTCATCACAGGAAAAGGCTAGCTCTCAGAGGAGTATTAAAGTTCTGGCGATTAGACTTGATCCAGTGAGTAAGGTATTGGCTGCTTAGGATTTCCGATGTATTGCCCAAGAAGGGAGAGAGGTGAGCGATTTTGTATGTAGATAAGAGGAGACGTTTCGTAAAGCATATGGCAATGATGTGTTATTGCTAGACACCCGCGAT